CTGCAAGCAGCCTGTCAACCTCATGAACATCATCGAAGAAGCTCGCCCAAAGCGGACACAACTCATTGCGCGAAGGCTTCGCGTTCGAGACCAGCTCGTCGACATGGCCTCCACTCAAGCCCCGCTGCACTCTCTTCAACTTGAGGTCGTACTCTGATGGCCAGCACTGGAGTATAGCGGCACAGTAGAATCTCTCTTCGGTGAGAGAGTGGACCGCATCCCGGCGTACGTCAAGTGGAAGGCTTTCGTACGTCTTCTCAAGGTCCTGGTACCGCTCAACGATACCTTGGCGAGCCTGCGTCAGGCTCTCTCTGGACGGCATTCCTGATGCAGTCGTTGGTTTCCGTGAGAGCTGACGTTGATGGAGTTGTACCTGACGGTCTTCAGTGCGATGGGAGATCTTTCGAGAACGAGCAGTAAACAAAGGATGTGGTACGGTACTGTTCGCTGCAGGCAACAGCCTCGGAGGTGAAGTAGACGAGTATAGGTAAGTGACTGCAACAAGATACAATGGACACGACATGGTCCTTTGTTCATCAGAAAGAGCGATACAATGGCTTTGTGCGGTCTGGTCTGACCAATCGAACTGACTTGCTTTGAGGTCTGTATACGCTCTGCTAGTCGTGTCGTGGTGTGCTTGGTACTGCTTCACAAGCCAGTATCCATCGCGTCGTCGTCTCCGCTCATCTCCTCCTCGTCGCCGTCACCCGTGCACTCCACGATGAGCTCTCCGATGGCGGCTCTAATTGCCTTTGCAATCGTCCCCTCACTGATTGCGTCGTTGTAGGTGTCCATCTGGCCCGTCCTCCAATTCATGCTCTCCGGACTAAACCGGTGTTGCTCCTTGCTGAGCAGTTGACGCAGCAGCAACCTCACTTCCGCCGCTTCTGATGCATCGGCCCGCAACTTCAACTTGACTTTTCCACCCGTCTGCACTACTTCCATCACCAATCCGAACGCCTTGCAGTACCATCGGAAGACGTTTGCTTTCAACAAGATTTCGACTGGCCAGGTCGCTGCGGACGGGTCGACGCCGTCGGCGTCGCATGCTGCGTTACTCTGCAGTCCAGCAAGATTGAGCCCGATGGACGGCAGCGGGGTTGTGGTCTGGTGAGGCAAGACGGCCTCCCACTGCTTGTTGTATTCGTCCAGTGCAGCATGGTAGTCGTACTGCTGGATCTGACGGCGTCGTGCCTCCATCCGCTCCGCTCGCTTTTCTTCTCTCCCCATGGTGCCGCAAAGTGGTGGCGCTGGTCTACTGAGTTTAGTGAGGTCAAGAGTGCGCGATGTCTTGGGGATGCTGACGAGCGGCATTTCCAGATTCCAAGCCATATACATCAATGAGTGGGTGGCGGGAGCTGCCGGCGATCCGAAACGCATACCCCTGCAGACTGTTGACGAAGGCGGCATGAAGGCCTCTCCGGAACACCATACCTGTCTTCAGCCAGTGCCCTCGCTTTGGTAAGTATGTATTTTGATGTATTGTGCCGGAGATGCTAAACATGCTCCTCCCAGATCCTGGGTCAAAGCCTACATCTCCGCAGTGCTATTAACGGTTCGGTTGAGTCGGTTTTGAGGCCAACAACCGACTCAACCGCTGGCTCTAAGGGTTACAACTATAAAGACTGCTAGATAACCACTACAACTCGTCGGCGCTAATAGCCTACCCCCCTTAACCTCCGCCCCTATACCCTACCCCCTCTAATTTAGCCCCTACCTAGGCTATCTAAGCCGTTCTTACGCTTCTCGTACTGCTACTACTTACGACAGCCTACTATAGTAGAAGTCTAGTAGGCTACGATACAATATACTCGATACCTTCGTCGCTGCTGCCGGCGGTGTTGCTTCCTGATCGGGAACGATTAACTACGGTTAGAGGAGACCTCTGAACTAGACTAACCGCCAGCGGCTAGAGCTGTAAGTAAACCAGACTATCACTATAGTTAACTAACCGCAACCACGAAGAACCGAACCGTTAATAGCACTGCATCTCCGTACCACCATCTTCGCCTCCAGGCCGTATACTGCTCTGCGACAGGTCTTCGAGACCGCCGTTGTTCCGGAGAGTCAGCAAGATCAGGACAATGCCACCATGATTGCGACGTACAAAGAGTGAACCAGCGAGCAGATATATGTGTAAATCGCAAGGTATTGCCTTCAAGAAGATATATGGTGAGGTGCGGGCATTGCTGAGACAATTTACAAGGTCTTCTTGCCCAAGGGAAACAGAGTATATATCGAGTTTGATGGAGCCTTACCACGGAACAGAGAGAGCTTACGTTTGTGCCGGACAGACGACGTGAGTTAATACATCAAGCTAAGTCGCGTACGCAGATGGTGTGAGCACGGTCGGGAACGAGGGACATGTCTGCACATGTCAGTCAAACTTCGTGGGCCCGGCGATGGATGCCTCCGTCAAGCTTTCACGCACGCTGGGTCCACGCTGCGCATCACCAAAACAGGATATCGATGCCAAGAAGCTGTGAATGTTGCGAAAACGATGTAGTAGAGATATCTCCTCTTGCGGAGTCGCACCATGGGCTGATTAAGATCACTGAGGACGTAAACATCCACCAGAACCAGGTCGACGTCTTGCCTCGCAACCTCCACAAGCAGCGATCATGCCTGCCAGCTGGCGCCACGTCAAGGAGGAGTCGCTCTTTGCTCCGATCACGCCAGCAGAAGCGGCTGGTATTGAAGAGCCAGGATGCGGCACCTGTCAAGACACATTCAAGGAGCTCGAGAACGCTGGACAAGGGTTGTTTCGCCTACGACATTGCCAATGCAAATAGTTCAGGTGGGTCCAAGAAGGTTCGCTAGGCGTTTCTCAGACTGCTGACCCGAGTGTTAGATCGGCGAGCCGAGTTTACCGTATGTGACTGCAATGAGGACCTCTTTGCAGCAGCGCCTAGGTCAAGAGTTTACATACGATGAGCTTCTCCGGGATCTTCGGGGGACGGGCAAAAGTGTAGCGCCTGCTAGAACTCGCATGGGCGACATCGACAAGGAAGTCAGGAAACTCATCGACGAACAGTTGAGGGACTACAGGTGAGTGTAGCCTTGCCATCGTTCGACGCTATTGAAACATCTGAGAGTACGTGCTCACACCTTGAAGGTTCGGTTCGATCAAATCCCACGACACCTTCGCCCGTGAGCTCAATCAAAGTTTCAAGTATGTCGGCTGCCGAATCGAGGAACGCCGGAACAAGCTGAGCAAGAAGAGGAAACGTTCGAAGGAGCTGGATGGCGATCGAGTTGAGGCAATTCTTAGCCATGAGGTCAACCCGGACGGCAAGATCATCTACGAGGTGAAGTGGTTGGGCTGGGAGGGGAGTACCTTTGAGGCGCGCGAGAATATGTATGGTCATGAGAGCAGGCCAGTGGGATGGACCACGAGTACCATTCGCAGTCTCGGCGCCGGGTAGTAGCGACCGCGTTGCTGCGTGGCATGAACCTCTCCAGCCAGTGTCTCACTCCATTCCTTCTACCATACGCAAAGTTCGCTTGGAACATCCACCCAGTCTTGCGCACTCAACGACCAGTCTTGACATACAGCCGGTGGGCTGGCGTAGTTGCCCAGTTACCATCGGTAGCAGCAGCTTTGTGGCCTGAGCATGTCTCCCGAGCATGTCTCCCGAGTTTTGTAGTCCAGCAGCTCTGTGGCAACCACCTTCTAGCTTCGTTACTGCGCCTTTACTCTGCCACGTCTTTCCTTGAAGTCACTTTTCCTGCTTCTTGATGCTATTGCAGCAAATGCAGCACGTCGTCCGTCAACCAACGTGTCCTCACCGTCTTGTTGACTCGCTTCCCGTACTCTGCAACTACAGTCTTGATCATATTGACCGCTTCATCATCTCCCTGGATCACACTGTCGCATCCCTTTGACGTAGCTTGCGTGAACAGCACATCCACCGAGGCTACCTCTTCACAGCGCTCGAGTATCGGTGCAAGGTGACTGACTAATGTTTGGGCGTTCGTAAGCTGGGTTGGGCTGATGATGACGCTCAGATTCATGACGCTGTCGTAGTAGGTAGCCTGGTCCGCAAAAGTGCTGCCGCCGAATGCAGAGGGAGTATGGCTGGACTTGAGGCGATCTGGGCCGAAGAAAAACAAAGGAGGATCCTTTGCCTTACCACGCCCCGGGTGGCGGAAGCCGGACGGAAACATTGGCTGCTTTGGCGGGTCTGGTGGGTAGGTTCGGTGTGTACTACGGCCGCCGCAACGCCAACCATCGGCACTTCATCCTGCAGGCCGCCCCATTTGCAGCATCGAAGCAGGTCTACTCCACTTTCATAGACGCCTAATTTAGCACGATCCGCTTCTACCTGACCATCTACGCGCCCATCGGAAGTCGGACCGCATACTACGGCAACGGGACGTTCGACAACAGCAGGCTGTACTACGAGAACGTCAGACAGCTCAGACTGCACGTCGAAGTCTACGGTGAAGAAGGAGTTGACGCCGTCTTGCTGCGACTCACACCCATCTTGCGCGCGTGCGAGAAGCTGGCGAAGGTCGAGTTGGTGATTCACGGCGAGACAGATGACAATGAAGTGGTGATGCCGTTGATCGATGGGGTGGCGGATGTGTTGAAGAGGATGGGTGAGGGGACGGAGAAGCAGGTGCAGCTGCGCATCGACCGAACTGGTTGAGTGATGGTGTTGGCAGAGTCTCTCCGTTGCCAAATAGCCCTCCCGCTTGTGCACTGAGCTTCGACACCGCCATGGCATGGTTGGAGCGCTAGGATGCAGGAAGGACTACACACGCCAGAAATTTTCGGAAACCAGTTTTTGCAAAGGAAATTGAGAGTTGATTGAGTAATGGCAACAGGCTGCTGAGCCGTGCTTTGGGCTCTACATACACGATAATACAATACAGTCACCGAGATATCAATGTCAAAACGTTGCCGCCGTGTGATGCTCACTGACGTGCCTATCATCAATGCTGAAGCCATACGAAAAGCGAAATTAATCGATCGATATGGCAAAAAGATGAGATTCTGGAAACTCTGAGAATCGAACTCAGGTCTCGTCGGCCCTATCCAACAGTCCAATAATTGTAACGCATTACCATAAGCGACGAATGCTACCATTGCACCAAGTTTCCCTGAATGAGAAACAAAGCTCGACCTTACTTATTATATGGCATTGATAGCGCCGCCGACGATCAACCAGAACTGCTAAACGCTGTACGAAAGATTCTTAATAAGCAGCCGTAACAGTGATTGTCGTATCAAAGGGTAGGGTTCGAGCGACTATCGGTGCCGTTCCATCAACTACGTTCTTCGAGAGTACTACCATACTGCCGTACCATTCTCTGGCACTACGTACAGATATTTGCGTGACATTGAAGTATGAGGTTGTCGTTTCGAGTTTTGGTAGAACGCTGAGGCTGAGGGAGGTCGCGGAACGTCAAGGAGTCAGAGTCAGAAATCTTTGCAACCATTCGATGCGCTCTCTTCACAGTCGACAGAGTCTTGCTCATACGTTGACGCGTAGAATGTTACTTGAGTGCGTAACATTGACCTCTTCGCAGCTCCGAAGTTGATAGGCTTGAAGTAAGGGGGTGATGGCAGACATCAGTGTGGGTTGGCTTTCCCGCACCGATGGTGAAGAAGTCATCCTCGCGTGTATGCTCTCGGAGAATGATATACGGCACAAGGTGACGCAGTCGATGCTCAAGCCGTAATCGGTGTTTGCATTCTTGATATGTTTGCATTTCATACTAAAGCCGCGTTGAATCCTCGCCGTCTCGCAGTACATATGTTCACAGCAAAACATAAAATCGATCTTCCTTGTCCATCAAGTAAGGCAGAGCAAACAGTCAAAAAAGACCGAAGCCACTGCCTGTCCCAAAGCCAAGTTCTTCCGCTATGGGCATGAAACTCTTTCCGACGGCCCAACGAACTGGCGGAGTCCGAAGACCCGTTGTGTAGTACCCTCAGCTGAGGGCCGCTAAGTCCCGCCGAGGGCCCTGCTTGTTAGGGTGATGGGGGATAGAAAGAAAGACAAGGTCTTACCCTCCACGTCTCCTCACATCATCAATCTCCCTGAAATATTGGTTAGCTGGTTGACTCCAGGGGGGGTGGCGTTTACTTCGAGGAGAAGGATCTTTAGAGGGAGCTTACTCAGTTTCTTGCTCTTGGTTGCTTGATTGGAGGAACCTTGAAGCTTGTAGATATATGGTGGTATGTTGGCCGGAGTTCAGCCAGTGACGTGGGAGGTGAGGTTGCTCACGTACAGTAGCGGAATTTCTCCATTTCCTTGCTAGATCGCGAGGTACAGGAATGTGGCTCTAGAAAGACCATTTGGTCAATCAATCAGCTAGTCTTAATCAAGCAAGACGGAATATGTCTGCTTCATATCTGCAGAGTACTGTGCAGCTCGGTGCAGGGAGGTTGCTCATTTACGAAGAGGTCGTGATGATGTGAGCGGAATACGGTTTGCAGACCGACGGATATGCTACGTACGCTGCTCACGCCGTGAACATGCATCCCTCCAGATCAGCAGTGTAATCGCCAACGCCCCAATGATATCGTTGCGCTCAATGTAGCCCAACGAACGCAACTCCATCACAACCATCGGACACAGAGATCGATCTCCAACGCGATGCGTAGATGTATTCCTCAGATGAATCTCGTGATGCTTTCCTGCAGAGTTCGAATCGCCACCGGTTTGCGTTTGTGCCAGACCCGTAACAAGTGCTTGCAACTGATCCGGTTCATTATCTGAGCATCATCATTGACCTCCCCAGCCGTGGTAGACCACAATCACACACTATCGCCTCCTCGCAACACCCAGCCAGGGCTCGACCTTCGCATACTCGACTTCCACCGTTTCTGCTACATTCTCGAGACTCATGACTGTGATCTGCGCACTGACCCATTCTTCTAACCGCTCTCTACCTCCAGCTTTGTCTGCGTGCACGCTGAAGAGCTCAATATCTTCCCCGTAGTTGACGACGACCTTGAGCTCAGTGAGCTGCACAAAGCCCAATGCTCGTAGATGTCGGAGCGGGTACAACCAGTCGCGCTCCGAGTGTGTGTACCGCGGTTTTGCGGTCTTGCCACGCAGATGTGGATTCGAACTGGTCTCGTTGCCTATAGGCACCTCCAACACCAGCTCGACCCGTTTTACTAGCTTACGGAGCGAGAAGGTCGGGAGCTCGATGAAGTTGCCTGTCCTACCTCTCTCTACATCTTGTCCACGCTTGGGATACCGGTCGGGCTCCGTGAATCCGAAGCATACCAGCGACGACTCCAGAACAGGAGTCGTGCGGATCTCGACTTTGGCGCGACTTCTTGGACCAAGCATCCTTCCCTCTCCTTCCGCCGGCAGACAGTTATCGATGCACAAGAAGTGGTGGCTGACGAAACGAAATAGATGTACGCCGTAGAAGACAGGGAGGACTTCGCTACGAAGTTGCCGGTTCGCCTGAGCAATCCTCAATCTCGGCGTGATCATTTGGCATCTTCTCAAACCGACAGCACTCATCTTGCCCTCCCCGTTGACGAGTAGCACGAGAAGCTCGCATATTCGGTTGCGTAATTCAGCAGGCAGCTCTAGTAGAAGGCTGAGCTTCGACGGGGTGGCGTTGTTGGATTCGGTGACGGCGGAAGGGGTTGGATTGAGCTGGGCGACGACGAGCTGGCTAGCGGGGACTTCTGGCTCGGACGATCCGTATGTCGGCGTAGGAGGTACCGTATCGGATGCCCGAGTCTTGGCGCGTCGCGTACTGCTGCCGTTGGTTTGTGACATGATCTTGCAACTGGAAACAATGGTCAGTCTGCGGGCAAGAGTCGAGCAGCATATATCTACCTGAGCACTGCAGTAACTGTTCGATACAGTAAAGCCGACAGCGAAGATGTCCGGCGCGATCCGATTGTTGTAAATGTAGGAGAGTGGTGCGTGACGCGGGCAAAACTTTGTGGAACATTTTGGAAACTTCACGCTAGTGACCATTGGTGTGTTTGATATCCCACAAAGCCGAAGCACAATACGACGCCGCAGAAGGTACAGTGTATAGTTGCAGCGTACACATAATGGACAAAGTATGTGCTATGTATCAGTATGTTACGAGAATTTTCAACACTCAGCAGGAGAAACCAATGTCAAGTATCATGATGATGATAGGTGGTTCGTGGCATTGTTTGGTAATCGAAGGGAGGGTCAGTCTGGCATCGATATTCTGAGCAATAGTCACTAACCTGCGTGATGAAGTGGTCGATCAATATAGCAAGACCTGCGAAGAGCGAACTGTGTGGGGGTTGGAGAACTTGAAGATGCGATGTTGAGTGTGCGAGAACGTGAGCAAGACTTTGTGGAGCATTTGAGAAATCCACGCTAGCAGATCACTAGCGCGTTTAGGAAAGGTCCTCACACGACATTGAGGGAAGACACAGTGCTGAAAAAGATATCACGTACAAGCACGTCGTTTCTCGAACGCGCGGAAGCATGGCAGGAGATGCTTACAATTATGCCTGACCGAATGCGGTGCGGCACGTCTCGGAACAAAGAACATATTCGTCATTACAACGATGCGGACCCATTACGAGCAGGGGATTCCACTCGAAGCACAGCTTCCTCAACCTACAAAGAGCTTACTACGAGTGACGAGGCCAAAGGTGTGATCGATGTGGACGCTTCGCGATTGCCGTCCTTGACTTTTGCAGTGAGATAATCGTTTCCTGTTTACTCTGAGGCATTTGAGACCCAGCTCATCGTTCTCTTCGTTGCACTCGTAGCGGCCTCCAAGCTCCTATAATCCATGTCAGGTCAACATCGATATCCAGTGCTCGACCGCAACGCTTATTCCTCGCCTCCCTTTGGGCCACAAGGTGAGCAAGCTTTGCTGCACAAACCGCCCATCAGTGACAATCCTATCCAGCAACTAGTCCTCGAAACACACATAACACCAGTGAAGCCCATAAGCACCAACCAGGCTCGATATCCCGCCTTCAGATAGCTTGATAAATCCAGCTGACACTCTCCGCAAACCGCTCAACGTCAATCATGATCAGCTTCTCGTCCAGCCAATCTTCCAAACTCTGTCCAGCGCCTACGGACGAGGTATCAATCCGGCTTGGATGATACTTTACCACGATCTTGAGTTCCTTTAGATGGGTGAAACCTAGCCTCGTGATCGCACGTACCGGGAACAGCCAGTCTCTCGTAGTATCTGTGTACGTGGGGCCGAACAAACGAGCATTTCGATTATTTTTCGGAACGTTGAGCACCAGCTCTAGCTGTTTGAGCATTGGCCGCAGGGAGATACCAGGTAGCTCGATGTAATTGCCGGTGATGTGTGGCAGATTATGTACATAGCTTGGGTTTGCGACGCATGGATACTGACTGCCAGCTGGAGGAGCGAAGCCGAAAGCTACCACTCTGGAGTTGATGTCGGTGTCGATGGTCTGTCGCGCAGTCCTCTTGTGGTTGTGGAATCCGCCTTCGTGACGAGAGCCTCCCTGTAGAGTCTCGGCGGTCTCGCTGACAAAGCGGAAGTTGTTCAGTCCGAAGAATAGTGGGAGAACCTCCTTGCGGAGCTGCTTGCAGGTGTACGAGACAGCGGAATATCGCGGGCGGATCGTGTGATAGTGCCGAACGTCTAGGACGACGGGGTCACCATTGCGCTTGATGATCTTGACGATATACCCCAGGATATCGATCAAGAGCTCGGTTGGCAGATTCAACAAGGTGCAAGCCTCGTTTTGCATGATAGCCGCTTCGACTATCACACGGATGGCCTCAGGAGTCAGGCCGGACATCTCTATGACGGACCAGTGTAGAGTTCTGGAGAAAGTTAGTCCACGAAAGAAGCATTGTCATGTTATGTCTTTACCGGATGAAGGCGATCGTGAGTTGACGCAGTAATGTGCAATCAATTCAGCCGTGGCGTTATCAGCTTGTAACTAGCGTCGGTTGTGGTGGTATCCGTTGGAGAGACAAGCGATAGAGGTAATGGGTACGCGTACGAAGATCGAAGGCAGTGTTGTTGGTGTTATGAAGAACATGTTCGGACTCGGTGGAATTGCGTTCACAAGGAGATGGATGACGTAGCCAGGAAAGATAGTGTTATAAATATACAAGGTGAGTGATTGAGTTGGT